CTTGAGGCTTAAATTTGTTTTTCAGTTCTTTCAGCTTGAGAAATGCAGAGCGAGTTCTTCCCTTTTTATTCTCCAATTCCAGCTCTCTGCACATTCCATTATAATACTTTGTCCTCCCAAGGTGCCCTTTGAAATCTGCTCTTTTACTTTGGCATGTTTTCCTTTGGTGTTGGCTCCTCGATGCTCCAGTACAATTTTTAGAGTTTCTTCTGATATCCATTTCAAATTTTTCCTTTCTCTTCTGTTTTTGTAATGACCTTTTGCCTTCTTCATTGATGATATCCTTGATATCATCCCACAACTTATCTGATCTTCGATTATTGGTACCTCAAACCAATTGCTAAGATGATCTTGAAATTCAAATGGAATTGATTCAAGATCATATCTTGGTTCCTGTGGGCTTACTTTAATTTTCTTCAGCCTCAACTTAAACTTGCGTATGAGTAATTAATGATCTGAATCACAGTCCACCCTGGCCAATATTGAGCTGCTGCAATGATTTTTTCCCACAAATGAAGTCAATCTGATTCCTAGCCCATCAGATGAGATCCACGTATAAAGTCATCATTTGGGTCTTTAAAGAAAAAGTATTTGTAAAAAAAAAAATGGTGTGCTCATTTCGGCAGCACATATACTAAAATTGGAATGATACAGAGAAGATTTTGCATGGCCCCTGCACTAGGATGACACACAAATTCATGATGTGTTCCATATTTTCTTGGAGAAAAAGATGTATTTGTAATGAAGAAATTCTTGTAAATACAGAATTCATTCTATTTCTATCACCAAGCCCATATTTTCCCACTTTTGCATCCCAGTCACCAATTATCAGCAATGCATCTTGATTGCTTGTTCTCAATTTCTTCTTCTTTGGCTAGGTTGTTGTTGTTGTTATATGCTATCGAGTCACCTGTGACTCATAGCGACCCTATGTACAACTATCCTAAACCCTCTTCTACTCTGTGCCAATCTTACTGTCTCTGACACACCTACCTTCATTACCCCAGTCACTTAATCAATCCATCTCGTTGAGGATCTTCCTCTCACACATTTCCCCTCCACCCTCTCAAGCATGATGTCCCTCTCCAAAAACTGGTTCCTCCTTGCAGCATGTCCAAAGTATGTCAGATGAAGTTTCAGAATCTTTGCCTCCAAGGAGCAACATGGTTTAACCATCTCCAGGATGAACCTGTTCATCCTCTTAGCAGTCCATGGTATATTCAATACTCTTCTCCAACACCACAGCTCAAAGGCATCAATTCTCTATCAACTCTAGTCATTGCCCAGCTCTCTGATGCATAGCAAGTGATTGCAGAGACCATGTCCTGTATCAGGCTCACCTTAGTCTCCAGTTTGACATCATTGCTCTTCAGTACTTTGGAGAAGTCTCTGACAGCAGAATTTCCCAATGCAATACGTCTTTCAATTTCCTACCTGCTGGTGCCAAGAGTGTTGCTTTTGGAGCCAAGCAAACTAAAGCTGTTTACAATCTCAATCGCTGCCAATCAGGCCAGTGGTGAGAATCTTTGTTTTCTTGATATTGAGCTTCAATCCATATTGAAGGCTGCAGCCCTTAACCTTCTGCAGGAAGTGCTTCAGGTCCTTCTCAGTTTTCAGCAAGCAAGATTGTGTCAGCTGCATAATACAGATTGTTGATGAGTCTTCCTCCAATCCTGATGCCATGTTTCTCATCATAGAGCCCAGTCTCCCAGATAATCTGTTCTCCATATAGATAGAAAAGATATGGAGATAGTACACATCTCTGGCGTACACCCTTCCGAGTTTTGAAGCATGCAGTGTTTCCTTGCTCTGTTCTGATGACTGCCTCCTGATCTAAGTATAGGTTTCTCATAAGCACAATCAAGTGTTCTGGGATTCCCATTCTTCTCAGAGTCAGCCACAGTTTGTTGTAGTCCACACAGTCAAACACCTTTGCATAGTCAATGAAACACAGATGGACATTCCTCTGGTACTCCCTGCTTTCACCATTAGCTACAATATCCCTAGTCTCTTCTAAACCCAGCCTGCACTTCTGGCAGTTCTCTGTTGATGTACTATTCCAGTCGTTTCTGGATAATCTTCAGCAGAATCTTGCTTGCATGTGATATTAATGATATTGTTTGATAATTTCCATACCCTGTTAGATCACCTTTCTTTGGAATGGGAACAAATAAAGCTCTCTTCCAGTCAGTTGGCCAAGTGGTTGTTCTCCAGATTTCTTGGCACAACTTAGCACATCCAGAGCAGCATCTCTTTGTTGAAATATATCAATTGGTATACCATAAATTCCTGGGACCTTGTTTTTTATCAATTCTTTCAGAGCAGCTTGAACTTCTTCCTTCATCACCACAGGCTCTGGTGCATACATTGTTTCATGAAATTCTTCTGTGTCCACCAATTCTTTTTGGTATAATGACTCCGTATATTCTTTCCATCTTCTTTTAATACTTCCTGGATCATTTAATATTCTGCCCAAAGCATCCTTAATTATTGCAACCCAAGGCTTGAATTTGTTCTTCAGTTCCTTCAGTTTAAGAAATGCTGAGCGACTTCGGCCCCTTTGATTATCTGATATCAGAATGCTCTTAGAGTATTTTAAAAACATCTAATTCTGTACAACTGTCAAACTCGTCAGATATTTGAGCTTGAAGAAGGATGAAATTTCATGCTAACTTCATCTGATCACCCTGACCTCTTCTTGTGACTCTGAGAGAACCCAGAAGCCAAGGCCAACTCTCTTGTAAGGTTTGATGCCCAGATCCAATTCACAAATTTGGATATGGAGCAAAGTTTATCTTCTGTTTTTAAAAAAAGTTCTACAATAAAGATGTATACCGAATAAGTTGTTTCCTCCCCATCCCAACATTGCTACCTGTGAAGTTACTCTTAATGGTTTGTGAGCTACCAACAAAATCATTCCAGCACACAGAAGCATGCCTGTTTCAGAGTGAGCATGCCCTATATGCCTCATAATCATTGGACGGTGGTTCTCTGGAAGCAGCTTGGGTTGTTGGAGTGTGTGTGTGTGTGTGTATGTTTTGTGCATGTGTATGATGTTATGTGTCATCAAGTCACCTGCAATTCATAGTGACCCTATGTACAACAGCACTGTAATCTGCCCTGTCCTGAGCCAGTCTCACTGATTCTGACACACCTACCCTCATTACCCCAGTTACTGTGTCAACCCATCTCATCCAGGGTCTTCCTCTTCTGTGCTGTACCTCCACTCTTCCAAGCATGATGTCCTTCTCCAAGGACTGGTCCTACCTGGCCACAAATCCAAAGTATGTGAGATGGAGCTTCAAGATCCTTGCCTCCAGGGAGAAACTTGGTTTCACCCTCTCCAAGACAGATGTGTTTGTTCTCTGAGTAGTCCATAGTACGTTTGATACTCTTCTCCAGCACCACAGCTCTTTTTCTGTCATCCTTAGTCATTGTCCAGATCTCTGATACATAGCAAGGAGTTACAAAGACCATGGCCTAGATCAAGCACACCTGAGTCTCTAGACTGACATTGTTGCTACTCAGTGCTCTGGAGAGGTCCCTGACATAATATGTTCCCAGTGCAACTCATTAATCTCTTCTCCATCTATCATGTTGCTGTTAGTTGGCTCAGTAAGATTCTTTGTCTTCTTGATGTTCAACTTCAATCTATATTGGAGGCTACAGTCCTTGACTTTCTGCAGCAAGCACCTCAGGTCTTCTTCAGTTTCAGCAAGCAAGGTTATGTCATCTGCATAAGGCAAGTTGTTAATGAGTCTTCCTCCAATCCTGATGTCACATTCCTCCTCATAAAGCCCTGCTTCACAAATGATCTGTTCTGCTTATAGACTGGAAAGGTATGGAGATAGGATGCATCCCTTACATACTACTTTCCTGATTTTGAACCGTGCAGTGTTTCCCTGCTCTGTTCTGAGGACTGCTTCCTTGTCCAAGTATAAGTTTCACATAAACACAAGTGTTTTAGGATTCTCATTTTCCTCAAGGTTAGCCACAGTTTGTTGTGATCCACACAGTCAAATGCCTTTGCATAGTCAATGAAACACAAATAATAGATCATCTATCTTATTCAAAATGTCCCATGCCAACCCATCTCATTTCGCCAATACTATGTCAATATTTATGTGTTCCATTTCTTTCTTAATGATATCTAGTTTTCCTACATCTATGCTTCTTCCTATGGAAAGCCAAATTTCATACCAAATATTATATGAAAAAACATGCTTATTCAGGAATTGAAGGAATTACAAATTTATAAGTTAGGATTTCTCTTGTGACAGATCACAGAAAATGAGCTATTCCCTGCAGACAAGAGACAGCTAGGGCCCCCCTACAGAGGGGGTGTTAATACATGTGAAATACTTCCTGAGCTAAAGCATTAGGTTGACAATGGAGAAAAATTCATCTTCACTTACAAGGAATTCTTTTTATGATTTGCTTCTCCTGATTATCAATAAAAGCACAGAGAAGCATGGTTTGAGGCCCTTCATTTGAGAATTGCTGACCCCTGCTTTATGCTCTCTGTTCTATCTCATTCTTGGTTGTCTGTCTCATAATTAATAATTCTAAATATACTTTAGCCTCGATCTGCAAAATCTCCCATTCCACATTCCAGTCTTTAGTGTCTGCTTACAACTGTTCTTTATTTGTTTTTCCAAATTTGAGAGCTCAGTTCAGTTGCCATACTGCTAGTCTACTCAAAGTGTACTCCATTGTACATAGGATTTTGAAGTCCTGTTATTTTGGAAGTGGATGGCCAATCCTTCCTCCTAGTCTATCTTAATTTGGATGCTCAGATTTAGAATAATATCTGACATGCACTGTTCTGCACATTGCTTTTTTCTTTTTTTTAAAGCATCATGAGTATCATATTAACAAGTTGATGCTTTGATTTTTCCCCCCAAGTGACAATTTTGAGTTAGTGGGATTATGCTGAGTCTCTCAAATGCCAAACAGGGAGCAAGACTCGTTAGTTTGTTCCTGTATGGTCACTGTTGAACATGGTCCAGTACGTGGCTCCCAAGACAGTATATTGTAATTTTTCTGTGGAGCTGCTGGTGGATTCAACCTGCCTAAGGCACAACTCATCATAAACCATGTCAGGAAATATAGTGTGCCTTGGTTTTCCCAGTTTTCCTAGGACTAAAGGTATTGTCTACTTCACTTATGTACCACTGCCACTGTATTTCATCACCCACATCCAGTTCATTGGCTGGATCTCCAAGATACATCCTCTTAACTCCACTGCCTTTGTCCTAGTAAAAAGTCTCCCTCTTTCCCACCCCCCACACTGCAGCCCAGTCTATACACAGTGACAAGAGTGATCTTTCTAAGCTGTAAATCAGATCTTGCACTTCTTGATTTTACCAGACTCCACCACACCACGTGAAGTCTGTTTAATGCAAATGGAATAAATCTAAATTTCTTTATTAAATAATTTAAAATATCATCTTCTTTTGATGTCCTAGAAAACTCATAAATCATCCTTTAACTTGAATTTGTGGTCCCATCTTTCTCTATTCCTTTCCTGATCACAATGATGCTGGCTGTACTGTTCCTGCCCTTTTTAATCGGAAAGCCTTTGCCCGTGGTGTTTTCTCTACTTGAACATCCTACCATGTCATTCTATTGCTGCTGCCTTCTTTGTAGATTTATGCTTAAATATACTTCCCCAGCCACATCCTAGGAAGTTCTAGTGGGGTAGTCCATGGGGAATTGAGCTGCTAACCCCTAGGCCTCACCTCTCTGGACGTTCTAATCTGCCAGCAGCTCCAAGGAAGAAGTGTAGATAACATCTTCTTGTGTAATTATTTATAGCCTCAGAAACCCAAAGGAGGGTCAGCTGTAAGTTCCTCCCAACTTGATGGCAAGAGGAATGAGTCATCTTCTCTAGCACCTCTTTCCTTCACTGCCCAAGATAACAAACTCTTATTTGAGTTTATCACAGGTAACCCAACAAAAATGCCTTCTGAGTGGAGAAAGCTTGTCCATCTTATTTACCACTGTCTCCTCCCTGGGTGTGCATAGCCGTCTGGTTCTCCGGCACCATCTGCTGGCTGGAGTCAGTCATTGCTGATAGTTCTTGAGAGTTGGCAAGAACCAGCCTTCTCCAATCCTGCCTGCCCTTGCCTTTTTACATGCCCACCAGTGTTTGCCTTTGTGTGGGCCCAGTCTGGCCATTCTGAACCTACAAGGGCCTACTCATGTGTCCCCATTAGACCTTCATCCTGAAGAAAAGAATGGATAGAGGGTAGTGTATGTTCTTCTGGGGAACTTTTTTGAACTAATCTCTAGTTAGTTAGATAGACTCTGCCCTGTGGCCTGGGGAAACGGAGTTATGCCATCTAGTTTTGTATTCTCTTCTGTAAAATGGAGCTTGCTAGAGACTGTCACTTCTAGTATCACCATGAGGATTAAGTGAAAATGTGTAGGATGGGATTGGGCCCAATGTGTCGGGAATGCCTGCTCCATGCTGTGTTCACATGCTGACAGGGCAGTGTCTGCTCAGACCCTGCCTGTGGCTGTGCTTGCTCTGGCTTGGCAAAATCCCACCAAACCAGGCTTGGTCCAAGGGAAACCTAGGATTTTTGACCTCCAACTGGAGACTGATGTGTGTGTGTTAAATATTTCATTTTGTTCCCCAAAAATATATGTTTGGAAGATAGCTATCTGGCCAACTCACTGGAAGAGATTCATATTTGTACTCATTCCAAAAGAAAGTGATCCAACAGAATGCAGACAATTATGGGACAACAATATTATTAACATCATTCAAATTTTAAAAAACTGCTCAAAGTCCTTGCCTCTGAGCAGAATGGACTCAGAGCTCACCCCCTAGCAGGTTTTCTGAGGCTGTACTCGCAGGAGAAGGAGACTGCCCATCCTTTTCCTGCAAAGCTGTGGGTGGATTCAAACCAGCAGATGGCCCCACCCTTGGATTAGCAGTACAACTCCCTGTGGACTAGGCTACCAGGGCTCCCCATGAATATCACACACAAAATTTTGCTGACAGTTATTTTTTAAATGATTGGAGTTATAGACATTATCTAGACAGAGAACTGCCATAAAATTAAAGTGAGATTCAGAAGAAGTGCTAAGAGGAATAGGATTGCTGACATCTGTTAGACCTTGACTGATAGCAGAATGTGCCAGAAAGAAATCTACCTGCATTTTGCTGAATATGTAAGGGCATCCAACTATGGAATCATCTTAGGCTCATAATAAATTATTTCAAAAGATTTCATTGTGGTCTTGAGGACGCTGTAAATGAGGAACTTGCTTGCACAGAACGAGGAGATAATGTGGTTTAAAACCTGAAAAGGTGTGCATTAGAGTTGTATCTTTCACTGATTCAACCCATATGCTGAACAAATAATCTGAGAAGCTTGGCTATTAGAAAAAGAATGCAGTATCAGGATTGGAGGAAGACTCATAAACAACTTGTGATGGATATATAGATGAATCAACTTTGCTTGCTGAAAATTGAAGCACTTACTGAAGAACAAAACTAGCCATCAGTATAGGTTATATGTCAACATAAAAAAAACAAAAATCCTCATAACTGGACCACTAAACATCTTGATAAAAGGAGAAAGATTGACATTGTCAAGGACTTCATTTTACTTGGATTCACAATCAAAACCCATTCAAGTGGCAGTCAAGAAAACAAATTACATGTTCGCATTGGGCGGATCTGCTGCAAATAAAAGCACTAAAGAGCAGGGATGTCACCTTGAAGACTGAAGTGTGTCTGACCCAACCCCATGTGCATGTGAAAGTTAGACAGTAAACAAGAGAGATCAAAAAAGAAATTATAAAAAAATAAAAAAAAGAAATTATGCCTTTTCATTTTGTTGGCAAAAAATACTGAATACACCATGAACTGCCAGAACAAACTGTTTTGGAAAAAGTGCAGCCAGAATGCTCCTTAAAAGGAAGTTGGTGAGATTTCATCTCACACACGTTGATCCTGTTCTCAGAAGGAAGCAGACTTTTGAAAAGGCCATCGTTCTTGGTAAAACAGCTCTTACTACTGTTGAGTCAGTAGACTTATGGCTGGTTTTCAGGAGGCTGCAAATCTCAGTGGAGAAGGTGGTTACCCATCAGCAGTTCCATGGGGAAAAGACCTGGTGGTGTCCTCCTGTGCAGCTTATAGCCTAGAAAACCCTAAAAGCCGGTTCTCTCACACTGGTAAACAGAGACCTGTTCAGGGCCTAGATCACCAACTCTGTGGATGTATCTTAGTTAGGAACAGAAGTTTCTCTGTTATCTTAGTGAGGCCATATCAGTGCAGGATGTGTCCTAAATGTAATTACTTGTAAATTATCTTTTAAAAGGAGCCAAGACAGAGAGACATAGATGAGAGGAAAAAGAGATCACCCAGGAACTGAGAAATGTCAAGGCTAGAGGAGCTGATGATTCCCCACCACAGAGCTGACAAAGAGAATATTCTTAGAGTTGGGATCCTGAACTTGAACTTTAAACTTACTTTTTAAAAAAATTGTGATTTTTAATGGACGTTTACATAAAAGTTGGATTTTCATTCCTTAATTGTTGCACATTTCCCCCCCATCTCCACCGAATTCACTTCAAAAATATATTCATTCATTGTTGCACAATTTCCTCCCTCTCCCCCAACCTTCCCCAAGTCCACTTTGCTATGCACGTCTTATACTGCACTGTTGTCATACAAATAATGCCTAATCATTGGTGCAACAACTGTGGAAGGCGGTATGGCACTTTCTCAAAAAGTTGCAAATAGAGATACCATTTGACCCAGCAATTCCACTGCTGGGAATATACCCCAAAGAGACCATAACTAACATCCAAGCAGATATATGCACACCCATGTTTATCGCGGTTTTGTTCACAATAGCAAGGAGTTGGAAACAACCGAAGTGCCCATCAGCAAATGAATGGAGAGAGAAGCTGTGGTATATTCACACAATGGAATACTACGCTGCATTGAAAAACAAGGAACTCATGCAATATACAAAATGGGTGACCCTGGAGGACATTATGCTGAGTGAAATATCTCAGTCACAAAAGGACAAATACTTCATGGTGCCATTGTTGTAAAACAGGACTGACATAGGGGTTGGGGGGAGACTGAGAAAGATGGGTTCAATAATGTATACTGCATTGAAACAGATGAGGGAGAAGACTGTTTAAAAGGGATATGTGATTAGGTAGTTTTGTCATGACAGGAGTCCAGAGCGAAGGCTGCATAGTGGAGTGGACCTGGGGGAGGGTTTGTAAAACAATGAAAGAATTGTACTTTCCCAAGAGGGCAGTGTACTGGGAGGGAGGCTTGAGGGTGGTGAGAAAAGTGCAACAATGAATGAATGGAAATTCAAATTTTCTGTAACTTTTCATAAATTTTTTAAAAAATTTATCTTAGATAAAGTAAAGCGAACAAAAAAAAGAAGCTGAAAAGTGGCTGTTTCTATAGATTTGTTCAAGACCTCAGTTGACCTTTTGGAACTTGGGCAGATGAGTTTTCACTAACACAGAGCTACTACAGAAACTGTCCATCTTTCCTCATAGTTCTCTATGACACCTTCAGCCTTGAATGTGAATAACTGAGGAGCTGTGTTGAAGAGAGGTCACAGAGGCCTGATAGTGACACCTCAGAAGTTGACACTGACACCATTGTTATGGGCAATGCACATTTTCAAACCTCCTCATTTAATTGTAAAGATATGTAACTATAATAAGACAGTTACTACTTATACCACCTTTATGTGTACAATTGTGTATCATCAAGTCAGAACACAGCTGACCCATAGCTGATTTTCAGGGCAGTTAATCATACAGGAGAATCCCATCTTCAGCTGGTGAATTTAAATTACATTAACCATGATATACAATCATTATTACTATCTGCTTCCAAGTTTATTTTCATCTTTAACAGAAACTCTAAAGCAAAATAAATCCTCTGCCACTGAGTCAGTTCCAGCTCATAGCAACCCTATCAAACAGATAATTAAAGGTAAATAGATTAAGTTTAATGGAGTAAATGACCTAATCAAAAGACAGAGAACTGCAGAGTATATTTAAAACAAAAACACCACCATGATAGGGCAACTCAGTGCCAATAGGAAAAATTGCCAGGAATGGAGTGTGTCTTTGGGGTCCCAGGCCTCTGCGTGATGAAACTCATTGATGTCAAGGAATTACAGAAGACAGGAGGTCTTCAGGGAATGCTGGGCCTCCAGATGCTGAAGGAAACAGAGGGGGGACAGTCCTCTAGAATTTTTATACTGAACTTGGCCTAGAAGCCTAAGTTCTAAACTTTAGAAAATAAAATTCTGTTTGTCAAAGTAAAAAAGGCCCCCAAACACTAGAATCTTACCATAATTAATCAATATGCTGTCTACAGGAAAGAGATCACAGATCCAAAGACACAAATGAGTTGCAAGTTAAAGAACAGAAAAAGTATCCTATGCAAATAGCAACCAAAAGAGAACTGAAATAGCTGCTGTATTGATAGCAGACAAAATAGACATTGAGTCAAGATGAGTTAAAAGAGACAATATTATATAATAATCAGAATCTCAGAGAAGAAGGATCAGTAGTCAGAAAGTATGAACTTGATAACAGAAATGAGGCTGGAGATAAAATGACAGAATTTTGTATAATTGATGATTTATTTATTGCAAATACCTTTTATAAGAAACATAAATGGTGACTAGACACATTGACTTCACCTGATGATGATGTTACACAAAGGAATCAGATCAACTACATCTGTGGAAAGAATCGCTGGAGCTCAGTATCAGCTGTGAAAACTAGGTCAGGTGCTGATTGTGGAACAGACCATTAACTACTCATATGCAAGTGCAAACTAAAGCTAAAAAAAATGAAATAAAATCCACAAGAACAAAAATTTGACCTTGAGTCTTTCACACCTAAATTTAAAAATCACCTCAGGAACAAGTTTGAATCATTCATGAAGAAAGCAAGAGGTCATTGCAAAGACAGAGGAGGGAGAAAAGATAAATATGGCTATCAGAAGAGATTCTGAATATTGCACTAGAGCTCTGAGAAGCCAAAGCAATGGGGAAGGAATTAGGAAGTTAAGGAACTCAACAAAGGATTTTGAAGGGCAGCTCGGAAACACAAAGCAAAATATTATAATGAAATGTGCAAAGAACTGGAGTCAGATAACCAAAAGGGCCAAACTGCTCAGCATTTCTTAAGCTGAAGGAACTGAAGAACAAATTCAAGCCTTGAGTTGCAATACTTAAGGATGCTATGGGAAAAAATACTGGACGATCCAAGAAGCATTAAAAGAAGATGGAAGGGCCACAAAGTCACCAAGAACGTGAGCCAGCCGAGGCACAGCCGCTGCCGCGGGCGCCTCACCAAGCACACCAAGTTCGTGCGGGACATGATCCGGGAGGTGTGTGGCTTCGCACCCTATGAGCGACGCGCCATGGAGCTGCTCAAGGTCTCCAAGGACAAGCGGGCCCTCAAGTTCATCAAGAAAAGGGTGGGGACACACATCCGCGCCAAGAGGAAGCGAGAAGAACTCAGCAATGTCCTGGCTGCCATGAGGAAGGCAGCTGCCAAGAAGGACTGAATGTGCCCCACTGTCCACCAAAGCCCATCTGATGTATTAAAGTGTAACCAACAAAAAAAAAAAAAGAAGATGGAAGAAATACACGGATTTGCTGTACCAAAAAGAATTGGCTGACACAGAAGAAATTAATGAAACAATATATGATTAAGAGGCAATTGTGATGAAACTGGGCTGCTCCTTGGAGGCAAGGATTCTGAAGCTTCGTCTGACATACTTTGGGCATGTTACAAGGAGGGGCCAGTCTTTGGAGAGGGATATCATGTTTGGGAGGGTGAAAGGACAGCACAGGATAGGAGGATCCTCGATGAAATGGATCGATTCAATGACTGGGGTAATGGGAGTAGGTGTGTCAGAGATAGTGAGGTTGGCACAGGACAGAGCAGGGTTTAGGGTCGCTATGAGAAGCGACTCGATGGCACATAACGACAACAACATCATCACTGATAAACAGACGTGAGCAAAATCCTGCTGAAAATTAACCAAAAATCACTGGAACAGTACAGCAACAGATATCTACCAGAAATACAGGCCAGGTTTAGAAAAGGCCATGGCAACAGAGACATTATCACCAACATCAGATGGATCTTGGCTGAAAGCAGAGAGTACCAGAAGGATGTCTCTCTGAGTTTCATTGATTATGCAAAGGCAATTGACTGTGTTGATCACAACAAATTGTGGCTAACCTTGAGAAAATTGGGAATCCCAGAACACCTGATTGTGCTCCTGTGAAACCTATTCTTGGATCAGGAAGCAGGCATCAGAACAGAGCAAGGAAACAGTGCATGGTTAAAAATCAGGAAGGGAGTGTGTCAGGGATGCATCCTGTCTCCATACTTTTCCAATCTATATGCAGAATATATCATTCAGGAGTCTAGGCTTTATGAGGAAGAATATGGCATCAGGATTGGAGGAAGACACATCAACAACCTGTGTTATGCATATGATACAATCTTGCCTACCAAAAATTAGGAGAACCTTCTGAAGCATTTGCTGCAGAAGGTCAAGGACTGCAATCTTCAATATGGATTGAAACTCAACATCAGTAAGATAAAGATTCTCACCACTGGGACAATTGGCAGCATCATGATAGATGGTGAAGAGATTCAGGTTGCTAAGAATTTCAGCTTGCTTGGCTCCACAATCAATACTCTTAACACCAGCAGGCAGGAAATCAAAAGATTAATTGCTCTTCCTTGGAGAAGAGCATCATGATTGGGGGTGTAAAAGAAAAAGTAAAATAAAAAAAGGACTAATTGCTCTGGGGAAGGCTGCTGTCAGGGACCTCTCCAGAGTAACAAGAAGCAACAATGTCAGTTTAGAGACTAAAGTGCACCTGATCCAGGCCATACTATTCACTATCACTTGCTATGCATCAGAGAGCTGGGCAATGACCAAAGATGACAGAAGAATTGATGCCTTTGAGTTGTGGTGCCGGAGAAGCCTTGGACCGCCAAGAAAACAAACAGATCTGTCTTGGAGAGAGTGAAACCAATTTTCTCCTTGGAGGCAAGGATTTTGAAGGTCTTTCTCACATACGTTGGGCATGTGGCCAGGAGAGACCAGTCCTTGGAGAAGGACATCATGCTTGGAAGAGTGGAGGAAAAGGGCAGAATAGAAAGACCCAGATGAGATCGACTGATACAGTAACTAGGGAAATGGGGCTCAGGATTGAGCAGCATTCAGAGCTATTGTACATAGTGTCGCTATGACTCATTGGTGACTCGATGGCACATAACAAGAATCTCAAGAAGATACAATAAGTACTCGATTCGGCAGCACTTTTACTCAAATTGGATTGATACGGAGATTAGCACGGCCCCTGTGCATGGATGACACGCAAATTTGTAAAGAGTTCCATGCCTTTTTTAAAAAACGAAGATACACAGATCCAAGACGGTGGCAGAGGCAGAGACAGCGTGGTGAGCTGCGGTAGTAGCGAACCACTTAAAGCAGGGCCATTATGGCCTTCCACAGACTTCAGCTTATTGATAATTGAACACTTAAACAGTTGATGACTGGCCCTCAGTGAAGATTGAAGCTCAACAACAGGAATTCA